CACAGAAACACACCTACACACAAGAAATCTATATTTTCTTTATCGCCTCATCCAACTTTATTATTAACATTATGACAAACATCCTCAAATATCTGTCATCACTCCTCTTCCTCCCCCATCTTCATCAGTCACAGTACCAAATTAGGGTTATGGCCCACTCACAGCCATATTTGTAACTATAAACATGATACAATCAGCACTCTATAAACAGGATTTAACCGATTGATAACTAATACAAATGTGTTCCAACAATTAAAACCAAAAACAACAACTGAACCTACGTTCTTGGTTAAATTTCAGTACACATTTTTGGATGCGAAAATCACATATTTTTTCTTCAGCCAGTCAAATTAAAAATCAAACACAGATGGGAGGTGGGAGAATTTGGTGGCTCACTGCAGTGGCAACTTCCATTGCTGAGGAAATCTACACAGATGAATGGACTGAATGTTCGCTTGGAGGTGTAGATTTTTGTACTGAGTGTCCATCTGATTGCACATTTTTAATAGCATCATGAATGAAGTCTAACTTTGCTACAACAGCACATTGGCAACCATGTTGTCGAGCCACAAGGTCGTACAAGTGTGAATGTACACATGACTGTGAGTGAAGAAGTACAATGTACAACTGGCAGACACACATTGAACATTTTGGAATAACTGAGATTGCTATTATTTTTTCAAGTGTTCAAAAGCAATTTACTCTGAAGATTAATGCTTTATAACAAGTTATGGCCATTTTGTATTGCTAGTAAGCTTTTTTTCAAATCCCAGTTCACACCTTAAAAACTCTTCACACAAACAGCACTCTAATGACCAAAGGGATTTTAAAAAAACAACTCACTGAGCAAAAGTTAGAAAATGATTTAATTATTTTAAGCTCCAACACCAACATCAGTGATATCTGTGTATTTGTACAAACTAATTTGCAATTGTTTGTGTTTAAAAAAGACGAAACAAAGACATATAAAAACGCATTTATAGAGAGAAACAGCTCATTGATGTTTCTGTCTGCACATAAATGGAGCGATCACAGCTGATTTTAATCTCGGATTAAAATTCTCCCAGGTCTGCTAGTTTTTTTGACCATCTATGATCATGGGAGATTCAAATCATTTTGGAGATGGGGCCCCGCATGAGTTTTAAAAGGAGGAATCAGACAGAGAAAGAGATCCTCTCTAGAAAACAAGGACATAAAAAGTGAGGTTGGTGAGAACTTGTAGCCAAAGTGAAGTACACCTCTGTCTGTGACTAACTGTATTAAGAGTACTCAATACTGTACTTTACTGCATTTTTTATTTTATTTACTGTGCTACAGTTTATATTTGTATCACTTTACTTTTCATCTTTGAATACATTAAGCATACACAGATGATTTTTATGCTGCAAAGTTGATTGAAAAATATAACAATCTATAACTCCTTCACTATCACAAAGGACTAAGACACATTTTTGCATCTACATTATGTATGTATACCTCTTGATACTGCTTTACTTTAGGTTGATGTTGGGAATAAAAACACTTCACATGCTGACAGCATTCTGGTAGTTTTGATTATGTGGAGCCTGAAACCAGTTGTTTTGTCAAGCTGTACGATGCGGCAGAAAACTGGAGCATTTTGCAAAGGAAAACTAAGCACATTCTTGTTAGCATTTCCATAAATAAACTGCATATATTTTGCATTAACAGGGATGTGCATTAAAATACACATGTGCCTGTATCAGGGCTAAAAAAGGTGTCATTTTCAGCAAATCTCCTCACATCATCACGCTCTTCACCGCTGCTATCATTATCGGCTGCATCTGCCAGCCCTATCACCATCCTAAGCATCTTGGTCTTGTTCCTCATCAGCATCTTTATCTGCTACTTCTCTGCAGTCTCCAGAGGAGGATTCCCTGTCGGAGGCTGTGAAGCTGTGGGGCAGCATGCGTCCAGAGCAGCCGATGTGAAGTGACAGAAGCTGCATGTATTTATAGGCAATCTGAGTAGAGAAACGTGCCGCTCACTGTTGAAGCTATTTATAGAGCCTTTTACTGATGCCTCTGAGTAGAGTGGAGGAGAGGAGATGGTTCGCTGGGGAATAACTTCCGAGGCGCCCTCATATCTCCCTCTACCCCCATTCAGTGCACGTCCGCCCTTCTGCTCCCTACGTCTCTGCTCCGCTCATCCCTGCATCGACTCTCTTAATTTCCAACCCCTGTCCCTCCCCATCTCTCCCCTGCTGATCTTGCCCTCTTTACCAACCCTCCTCCTGTCCTCTCCCCTTTTTTTGAGCCTCCTTGCTCATGTCCACATCCATCATCTTCCCCCTCTCTCTCTCTCTCTCTCTCTGTTTACTGTACCTAAACCTCTCTGCCTCTGCCTATATATTTTCTAGATCTTCTCAGTCCTTTAGCCCCATTTCACCATCTTGCACTCTCAGCTCCATTCATATCAAAGAGGCACTTACACTGTTCATACGCAGAGATCAGGATCAGCTAACACTCTTCTCTTAATTCCTCAGCAGCAGGTGCTCTGGCAGAAGCTCAGACTGATTCTCCTTCTTCTGCTTGAAATGTTTTACAACTTTAAATTCAATTTTGCATGATCTGGTTTATCTGTTTTATTTTCTTATCAGTCTGCAATCAGTGTTGGACTCTATCCTAGTTACAATGTCCTATCCTTAAAGTGGCAGTCGTGCTAGTGTTTGTTGAAGTGTGAATGCATGTTCCCATACAAACACACAGTACACACACAGCGGGCAGCCTGGAGGCAATGATACTATACAACATGAGAATAAAGTTATTAATACCAGACGGCAAATTATCACATTCGATTCATTATTTTTGGGGGAAGAATGGCCGATCGTTGAGCCAAGTGATGTAACAGGATGCAGGAGTTGATGTCAACATGTGAGCCTTCTAGCTATATGAACACACACACACACAAATACACAGACACACCTCCTCCCACGTCCTTCAGTGTGACAGCATGTTGTGATGCAGAGTGGCGTCTGCTTGTCAAGCTGACAGACTCGCACTGACAGCATGGTCAGAGCGCTGCAGACACAGGAGAAAAACACTGATTTTATAACGCTCCAAACCACAAACAACAAACAGCTGCCGGGCACGAGCAGTGCAGCACCCAGGACCATCATCCCCTGTTTTTTTAGCTGTCTGATGCTGTGTCACTCTCATGGTTGAACAGCACCTGCTTCTGTGTGTATCAGACTGCTAGGATGTCATGCAGCGAATGTACGTAAAATGCAGTGGAGATGACCTGCTGACTAAAGGCAAATTAAATCGGCGCGGCGAGATTAACCCAAATTTGGAGAATCACTGTAATATCACGTTTTTAAATGTAATTCAAGTATTCAGCACATGATTCAAAGCTGCCATGCAGGAGGTCTATGAGTTGGAATTTCTATAATCTTCATTACTCTGTATCAGCTTTGTTAAGTGATAGGCAGTTAATTATGGGGATGTCATTACCGCTCACACATCACACAGAATAACTGTCTTTCCATTCTCATAAAAGGGCTGGAAGGCGGCTATAATTGAAATGTGGTGACAAAACTATGGTTCACGCTACCAAAAAAGGGCCTGTGCCATCCTTCGGCCTTGACAGGGTTGAGGCGCGTGAGGACCTGCAGTGCTGAACCTCAGCCAGTCCCCATCACCTCAGTCATCACCCTGTCAGTCCGCCTTCACTGCACTATTACACAGCCAACAGTCTGAGAAAGGTAGAAAAAAGGAGAAGGAGAGGTAAAGAGAAGGAGAGTGGGCCAACTGGAGTTAAAATTGAAAGGGAGAAAAAAAACGTGATAGAGTGAGGTGGTGACCAAAAGAAATCAAAGAGGCAGAGAAGGAGGGAGAGCAAAGAGATCAAGACGACAAGAGAGAGGGAGGAGAGGAAAAAGAGGAAGAGAGAGGCTCAGGAACTGTGCAGCTGTGGGAGCGTATTAAACAATCACTTCTGTGTCAGCGGCTCAACACACCGGCAGAGGACATCTAGTATAGTAGAAGCGCTTAGCCAATGCAACTATCACTGACGTCAAATCCGAGCTTTGCTTTCTCATGGTTCCGTACCAGCATCTGTCTGTTCGCAAACAGCCGAAAGGCCAGTTGATGCAACTCAATCACCTCTGCCTGCAAAACACCCAGACAGCATGATTGAGGTTATTAACGGAGGATACTGAAACACATCAGACGAGTACAAAGCCCTTCAACAGGTATCAAATCACAGAGCCACATGCTGCATGAAAGGTGTAACATGTAGTCTGCAGAGTCAAGCATCAGAGCGACTTCAGTCTCTAAGCTGATTCATGAGCTGCTCGGTGTATTGACAGCAGGCGGAGCTGCCGGGTATGGCACTCCTCAATGTCAATCATCAGCAAAGACATCGCCCTCGTACAGGCAACAGGCACTACATACTGATAACACAATGTAAGCACAGACACACACGTCCACATGCGACCCACCGGCACGAAGAGCGTCTGTGTGAAGATTTGTGTCCAGCCTGTAAAATTTCTCACACACAATAATAAAACCTTTTCTAATGCATCCAAGGGAGTGATGTGTTATCATCTTTGAATATCTGTGCGTGTGTTGTGCATGTCTGGCGTGTGCTGAAGGGGGTAGGGCGCAAGCCTCGAGACAAGAGGGTGGTTGCCGTGGAAACCTCAGGCTGAGAGCTCGGCAGCCGGACGATTGAAGAAAAAGAGGGAGCGATAGACGGTGAGAGATGGAGAGAAAGAGCGAGCGTGTGATGAAAAAATACGGAGGGCAACGTCCCGAGGGCAAGGAGGGAAAACTAAAACAGAGAAAGATAACGAAATAGAGCTGGAAGAGGAGGAGGAGGGAGGTGAAAATTGAAGAATGTGTCTTAGAATGAAACACAACTATACAGACACAGAATAAGACAGAGACAATGAGGAGATCAGAAAGGAGTAAAATAAATATTGAAGGAGTGACAGAGACCAAGAGGAAGGACAGAAGAAGGATGGAGTAATGTGGACTCACAGGGAACGGTGCGGAGGTAGAGGTTGTCTCTGATGATCTGCTGATGGTCGTGGTCCACTGAGCCCTTGGAGAAGCGCAGGTTGAGGTAGTGCCGCAAATCCTTGTCAACCACCCCCCCTGAGCACAAACACAGGAAGAAAGAGGTTAGAGCTTGATTTTTATTTGGTAACATACACACAAGCCTGACAAGCAACACTTTGTGGTAGTGATCTCCAAAAACCTCATCAGTGTTTGTATTAAGATATTAAAACAATATCTAGACCAATATTGGATGAAGTGAAAGGATTTTCCTCAAGCAGGCTGCCCAGTGGGCCAGCCATTACACACACACACAGCCAAACATTCCTCAACTTTTAAAATCTAGTGGAGATCCCAGAGTTTCCAAAGATACCAGATATTTCCTGCTGAATGCACAAGATACCTAGAATATTTCAGTCTGTTGGAATGATGTGATAAAAAAATATTTTTCTCAGTGCAAACATGATGTTGCCTCAACAAAGAGTTAGAACAAGCTGATACAGAGTTCACAGCTTGTCCCAGCTGACAGACAGTGAAGAGTAAGAATGAAGATGAAGGAGAGTTAAAGGGGGAGAATAAGGTTTTGTGGTTGAATATGAGTAAAATGGCTTAATCAGATTGAAAACTAGCACTGATTTTCGCACACAAAAAAAAAGGCAGAGGCTACTACACACACTGATGTAAACACACACACACACACACACACACACACAGATCATGGTAATTGTGTAAACCAGTGATCCCCTTGAGGCTAAATACGCAGTGTCAGCAGGTTGGGTGACAAAGGCCTACAGAGGACAGAAGCTCACACCACCTCACCCCTGCTTCTGCTTATTATTTTCTGTACAAACCTTCTTCCTTCTCATTAAGTCACTGAACTGAAAGAGTAAAATAAATGACAAACATGAGTGAAGGCACACAACCAAGAGCAGGCCAACATATCTGTGCTACACACACACACACACACACACACTATATGATAATGTCCATGAATAGTTTCTCCTCCCTTCATCCCAAACCAGAGAAGCCCAGGAGGATGAGAGGAGGAGAACTTATTCTCCACACAACATTCAGTATGCAAGACTATGACATCCAACAGCAGGAGGGATGAGGTTACATGCCATGCATTTACAAATGAAAAACATGTCTTCTCACTCATGCATACTCTAGCGACCTCCTGCCAAATTGACTTGACAGCGTTCGGCCTACCGGTTGAGATTATTGCAGCGCCCACCCGTCAAAGACGGCGTACCGTCAGAGGAGATTCTTTACAAGGGCTCACGCTGCACAGATACCTGTATGTATGTTACAGACACAGGTGACTCTATGATTCTGCAATAATGGATCCTTTTGGAATAACATCTTATGTAAACTGACACCATTTTAAGCGAGGCTGTGGAGCACTGTGAATTGCTTTCCAAACAGCAGAGGAGAGGAGAGGAGAGGAAAGAGCCAGAAAACAAAGAAAGACAAGATGAAACCTTGATTAACATTATTTGGACTGTCGCATTTTTTAGATTGGTCACATCACATCATATAGGTATGTATTCAGACATAGGCCATATCTATGCATGCACAGACACACACATACACACA